GCATTACAGATCTAAACTCTAAAACCTATAAAACAAGGGAGAGGGTGTTGGCCACCAGCTGAATCGCACCGAGAGGATCAACAATTTCTCTCATTTTGTTTTTGGTAAGGACCCAGTCTGGAGCGAATCTGAAAACACACAAAGATTTCAGTTTATACAGATGATTAACAGGTTTTATTTCTATACACCGAGGGTTGTACAGAAGTGCACATACTTTGGGACAGAGCCAGCTTTCCGAGGCGTTGCCAGTGAACTGCTGTTGAACGAAGCGTTCATTTTCAGCTTGACGATGGTCCTCTCTGCGTCCAGCTTGTGTTTGTGAGCAGTAAGCTTGTAGATGCTGAGCAATTTGTCCACAGCTTTAGGAATCTTCTTGACCTCCTAAAGAAGATTAAAAACATTAATTTCTCACTTGCGCTGTAGTTTAAAAAGCGGCGTTTTTCTGACCGGTATAAAGCAGCAGCTGCGTACCTCGGCTCGGTGTTCGTCCTGGAACAGGAGAGCCAGGAGGAAGCAGGTTTTGGTGAAAATGCTCCCGCCTTTTCCAGCCACTTTGTCTCCCACCTTCTCCCTGTAYCTCTGCAGCAAATCCAGCAGCGTCTCCACAGAGTTGTCCACGGAATACACTGCCTCTATGGTCTTGTGGTACTGGAGGAGGAAAGAGAATAAATGAAGACTTTTCAAGATGGAGAGGAGGCCAAAAGATTTTAGACAGGACTTGTTGTAAATGTTAGCAAAATATTTTTTGCTGTTAAACCTTTTTTTTCCAAATGAGGTGGATGCACTCAATCCTTGACCTCCTCCTCCAAATGGTCATTTAACAAACATGAATTCTTTTATTTATTTATTTATTTTTTTTTTTTTTGTCATCCCAAAAAATTATCCAACTGAACTTTGGACAGACATTCGTTAAATATTTCTAAACATGATGACCTTTAGTCTGAACCCAGTTTGCAGAACAGAAACTAGGAAAAAGCTGACTCAGTGAAAGCACAGTCTGTGGGGAAGTAGGAAAGCAGAGAACTGGAGGAAATAATCATAATGACTCCTTAGAAAAACTCTGAACTCTGTAACATTACGTGGAGTTCCTCAGGGTTCAGTACTCGGACCAAAGTTATTTGTTTTATACGTGAATGTTTTGGTAAATGTGTCAGGGCTTTTTAATTGTGTTCTATTTGCAGAGGATACCACTTTTTGTTTGTGTGAAGATATAGAATGAATTTTGGAGATAATGCAGACAGAATTAGTAAAAATACAAACTTGGTTTCAAATTAATAAAATATCATTAAATTTGGATAAAACTGATCACATGATGGTCAGTCATAGAAAGCGAACTGTTGATGTTCCATTTAGAGTCGATGGTGTTGAGATTTGTAGAGTCAGTGTTTTTGGGTGTTATTGATGAGAAGCTGACATGGAAATCTCATAAATAATTAAATAAAAATGTATTAAAAATAAAAATTTTATAAAAATAGCTAAATCTATCGCATTACTGTACAAAGTACGGGAGTTATTCAATGATAAAGCTCTATATA